GAGGGGTAACAATATGGTAAGGGCAAGCAGGGTAGCACTTTAAACACCTCTTTTGGTTAGTAAGCAGCTTGCGTGTTTACTTCACCTGTCTTACTAACTTTCTTGTGACTTTAGCAGCGAAGTAAACACCTCCTAAGTATAAGATACATATTAATCTAAAATTCACAAACATTTCTGATTTCACTCCGAACACGTGTAGAAATTGATCTGATCATATCTTGCTGTATTTAGTTCCGTTTAAAGCGTTTTCTATCTCGCTGGAAAGATCTTATCGAGTTCTAAAACTCATCTTCGGGTGTCAGTTTAAAAATATTAAAGGAAGACTGCCTAATGAACCGAATTCAAGTTCCGGACTCTATTTACGCTCAAAACGCTAAATCACAGAGCCCCGACTTAGTATTTGTGACACTCATAACTTGACGTATGTTCTTCCTTTTCAAGCGTATTAAATCTCATTGGAAAGATCATTTTGTGTTCTAAAGCTATTGTTCCGACTCAATTTACAATGCATTAAATATTAAGTACATATTGACCTCAAATTCACAAACATTTCCAATTTCACTCCGGACACGTGTAGAAATTGACCTGATCATATCTTGTTGTATGTAGTTCCGTTTAAAGTGTTCTCTATCTCGTTGGAAAGATCTTATCGAGTTCTAAAACTTGTTTTCAGGAATCCGTTTAAAAATATTACAGGAAGACTATCTAATGAACTGAATTTCAAATCGCAGACTGTATTGGTGCTAAAAATGCTCTATTTACGTTGACAACACTAAATCACAAAGTTCAGACTTACTATTTGTGAAACTCACATTTTGTTGTATGTTCTTTCGTTTCAAGCATATATATCTCGTTAGAAGGATCATTTTGAGTTCTAAAGCTATTGTTTTGATTCAATTTACAATGCATTAAGTATAAGGTATGCATTAACCTAAAATTCACAAACATTTTCGATTTCACTCCGATCACGTGTAGAAATTGATCTGGTCATATCCTGTTGTATTAAGTCCGTTTAAAGCGTTTTTTATCTCGTTGCAAAGATCTTATCGAGTTCTAAAACTCGTCTTCAGGCGTCGATTTCAAAATATTACGGGAAGACTACCTAATGAACCAAATTACAAATCCTCGACTGTATTTTCGCAAAAAATGCTCTTTTAAGGGGGCTCATCTGCCAAGGACTCCAAAGTTAAGCGTGCTTGCACGAGAGCAGTCTTGGGATAGGTGACCCCCTGGGAAGTTTCTCAGGGTGCGCATGAGTGATTACAAGGTGCACGGTAAATGCTCGTGATGGTTTGTGGGACTGTACTAGAGGTCTGCAGTAACTACCTCGGATTTTACGGGACCAGGGTGTTATCATCTATTTTCATAGCTATAATGACCTCATCATCATATATGCCATTAAAACCTCTAATGACTCTCGGATCACAGTCCCCCTCTTCTTCCTCTTGTAATGTTTGGTATCTGGATGGGATTTCCCCATCTTCTTTAGTTGGTTTCTTTTTCTTAACTTTCTTACTTTTCTTTTTCAACCTTGCTGCATGCCCTAAGGAGGGGATGTTCTTCCTTTTTCTTATGTTTCCCCTCATATAATGCCGCAACATTAGCGGTTTCTCCCTTGCCCCCTCTTGATATTGCGGCATTGACCTCTTCGTTGTCTACCGTGGCTTTAGTGATGGTCTTGATTGCCCCTTGTTTGTCTTCCTCAAGTCTCTTCTTGTCTTCCCTCTCCTTTCTTTCCAATTCGGCTATTGTTTTACAAGTAAAGGCATGGTGCCCATATGATTAACAATGGACACAATAGTTTGGGAAAGTCTCATAGATTATGCCTTTGCTATGAAACCTCCCATTTGGTAACTTAACCTTCAATTTGAGTGGAGGTGGCTTGGCCGCATCTACTTCAAAAGAACTCTTGTGAAATGGGATCTAACCCTCTCTTGAGTAATCCTATCCGTGGTCAAAGGAACACCAATCCGTAAGGTAATCTCACTTATGATCTCCTCATCCCAAATTTGCATAGGGAGGTGAGGTAGTTTCACCCAAATTGGAACCTTTAAGAACTCATCACAATCAAAGGTAAAGTCATCTGAGATAGTCTTTAGGTAAAGGGATTTACCAAAGAGAGAGTAGGGTCCCTTTATAAGCACTTTAGCTTTAGACTCCTCACTTTGAAATTTAAAGATGACCCATCCTCTATCATGGGTCCTCACCTTACATTGCACTCCCCATTTGGAAACAAGTTCTTGAATAGGCTTAAAATCGGTGTACCTTCCGGTAGTGTACCCAACAAAACAATGGCCCCAAATCTCTACCATAGATGGCATGATCTTCTTATACAAATCAACATACTCACCCACGGGTCAATGTATCTTAATATCATTCCTTTAGTTGGCTCTCTATTATCTTGAAACAAAGAAACCCACAACTTTGATTTCTCAACCACAATTTTTCCTTGATCAACTTCATGGTTTGACTCCTCAACAATCTTCCCTTGATCTACTTCATGGTTTGGCTCTTCATGTGTAGAAGAAGTATCTGTTTCCACCGTTAGTTCAACATCCATTAATGGTTATGAAATGGGGTTCAAAGTATCCCCAATAAGGGGGGTAACTCCCCCCCCCCCCCTCCAAAATTTGATCTACGGCTTTGTCAAGTGGTACAACCGAAGGGGTGTCCTCTATGGCCTTTCCTCCCTTCTTAGAAGTGGTATCTTCCGCATCCATGGTATAGTTACTCAACTCCTCTTCACTTGTCGTGACCTCTACATCATCTTTATCAACCAAGGGCACTTTTTTCTTCTTAAGAGTAGGAGTACTAACATCAACTTCTTTAGCTTTTCCTTCAAAGCTTGTATTCTCATAGAGGTTTTTTTCCCGGGAGGGGTCCCCTTGAGCTTAGAGCTTCGTATGCTTGCCTTCCCCGTAAAAGGAGATGATGAATAGCAAACTTGAAAACCAAAGTGCTCGGATGATGAAGAAAAGAGAGCCTAGAGGTTCTCCTAGATGAGGCGACCCCCAAACATGTCTTGAGATCCTTCCCCAAGCTATGGATTCTTGTAAATCAGATCTACCTCAAACAAAAAGACAACTGTGAATATTCATTTCTAGCTTTTCTTCATAAGTCTTGTACGACCTCAATGGATTGAGTTCAAACTTGAGATTCAAGGTCACCAAGAGTAGGAAACTTCACCCCATGAAAACCTCAAAGATCCAATGAGCCATTTGTGAGCTAAGAACAAAACTTTTTGTCGTATGAATAGTAGAAATGCGAACATTTATAGGTGTTTTTGGAGGTGACAAAGGATGGATATCCAAGGTATTACACGTCCAAGGAATAGAGGGGCAATATGGAAGATATCCAAGCTCCGGTGGGTGGTGGAGGATGTGCTAGACGGTGGTGGGATGGTGGTTTACGGCGTGAAAGAGAAGAAGATGATCGTTGGTCACTTCTTGAGAGATTAGCTCTCAACTCTCACTAGAACCATCAGGCGTCGGTAGGCTTGATCGTACTGATTAACCTGAAATTACAAACATTTCCGATTTCACTCCGAACACGTGTGATTTCCGATTTTCGAACGGGACGGTACCATGTCATACCAATACCAAACAATGCCACTTTTTTTAAGTGTTTAAGGAAAATTTAAAGTTTAGTCATCCTCCAAAAATCCACACAATTTATCAATTTTCATATTTCATCACGTTCCAAATGATTTGAAAAGTAAAACTTTTTTGGTCAAACAATTTCTTTTTATTCACTTAATAAGGAGTGAAGCAGCAATTCAACATCTCCGCGGAAGTGCCTAGCGTTTCAGTCTAGGGTTTCTTTGGGCCGACAAGTGTTCAGCGGACAGTTTTGTTTGGGTGGGGCAATTGATGCCACAAAACAGATAGGTTGTTGTTCGATTCTCTTGCTCTCCTTGTTTGCTTCGGCGATCCAAATCAGCCAGGCGGGTCGTTGGCTATTCATCGCAGGCTAGAGCCGTAGAAGGGTAGGCCGTGGATGAAGAACTGTTTTGCGACCAGGGAGGGAGCGACGGTAAAGAACTCTTCGTGGTGCAGATCCGATTTCGGCCAGTGTGGTGTGCGATTAACTATTTTACCCTGATGGTGATTGAGTTGAGAGCTGTACCAGCTGTTTTTTATCTGGGAGGAACGTTGAATATTCGGATCTCGATTAAAGGGGGCGAATCTGGGCTCCATTTGGCTATTGGGGGATCGATGCAGTTACTTTGGCCGCCTCCGGCGTTGGAGGAAGAAGGCGTTTTGTGGATGGCTCGTCCCCCTCCCGAACCGCCGCCATCGAGGAAGTGCTTAACTAGGCTCTGGAATATGGTGCTTGAAGAATGGTCTCCATTGTTCTACAAGCTAAAGTTTGGAGGGATAAATAAGGCAGGAAGCCATGAAGACTTTAATTATTCTTACATTTTTTCCTTATCGATTGCTCATATTGCTTTTACCTTCGTTATGAACTCTAGAGGTAGGTTGGTGTCTTGGTTTTTATGTTTTACTCTGAATGTTGCTGTGGGTGGAAGCGATAAGGCTTGTTTGGCCGTTAAAAGCTTCGAAACTCTCACATGGTTCGCGAATAGTCTCGCTCCTTCCGGGATGGTCTATTCTAAGTCTAGCCAGAGAGTGGGAGGGCCTTTGGACTATGCGGAGCCTCACGAGGAGGTTTGGCGTTATACGAGGGATCGTATTTTTAGATGTTTGATTGAGGAAGTTTGGGTTGATTGTAAGGGGGGAAGTATGTTGAGACGTTTGGTTGATATAATATAATCAGTTTCCTTTAAAAAAAAATTATATTCTAATATGGCATTTCAGAAAAAGTACTTCGTATATTCTAATTTGGATTTTGCAACTTTAAAAAGATTTTATTGTGATTTCTAACTATGAAAATTTTAATTATTAAAAATTGTATTAATTATCATTAGGGAGGACTTAGCATTAACAATAACCAAAAAATGTTGACTTTGCAAATCACTTTGGGACGGATGAAGTAATTAATAAAATTCAGATAGATTATAGTAGTACAAATTTAAATAATTAAATCATACTTCGGTCCGGTACCGGTTCTCATTTTATGAGAACCCGTCATGAAATTGCTTGTAATCGGTACCGTCCGGTTCAGGAAAAAAAAATTTGAGATCCGTTTTAAACCCCTTTTATCGATCCGGTACCATACCGGTCTGGTACCATGTCGATTCGGTATTTTTGCCCCCCCTACTTTTTTTTAAGAGAACTCATCCATTCACTTTCTTGTACAAGCTAGGACGAAATACCATTCATTCTAGGCCAAAAGGCAGAGGGAATACTCTTCAAAAGAATGGACGAATGGATTAACAAAAGAACCTTCAAAACCCCAAATAGCAATACTCTTCTTGAACAAGATAACAAGGAGACTTGGGCGGCATTCTAACACCGCCGCCGCCGCCGCGAATGAAGCTGCTCCTTGCCGCCATCATTTCACTCAAAGAAAACCTCTTTTTTACCGGCTCCGGCCTCTGCTTGGGCGCGCTCTGAGACCTTCGCTTCGCGTTAAAGGACTCTGTGTTTGCCATGTAACTCGGGGAACCGGGATACGGCCGGAACGGGCTATCCCCGCCGGCGATCTTTGCCGGCGCCAGTGTTGGTGGCGGACTTCTCCTCCCGGACGGCCTATTTCGCCGCGGCGTGATGTGGGCCGGCGGGAAATTGCACTCCTTGCCGCCGAGAAGGCTCCACTCGGAATCGCATAAACGGCTGCGGTGGTCGTCCGGGATGGATAACCGGCCCGGAGCCAGACACGGCGGGAGGTAATGATCATCGCCCGGATCAGATACGCCTGTTCTGCTCCTCCAGCAGGTTCTGGAGTCGCTGTTAGTGGAGATTGATGAGAGACGACGGCGAGCTCTTTCTGATCGAGCGGCGGCCTGAGCTCTGATGAGAGCTTCCATACAGTATAGAGTGGCGGCTGCTCTTTTCCGAACCAGATAACCTCTGACCAATGCTTGTAATTTCACTATTCCTTTTAGTGCTCTCAAAGCTTTCCTAGCCTGCAATAGTGGAGGACAAATTCATATCAACAAATTCATAAGAGTAAATTGTACAAGTTTCATTTATATGAGTAATTATCTACTCCCTCAAGTAAGAGTAAATTGTACAAGTTTTTTTATTTGTCTCCTTTCCCTTTCAGGAAAGTTTTTGAGAAAATACCCCTACTTTTATTACTTTTACCCCACTTACTTTTTACAAACTACTTTCTCTTTCCTACTTTACCATCACTTTACTCTTTTTAATACACTCTCTTTCCTACTTTATCATCACTTTACTCTTTTTAACATACCATCTTTCCTACTTTATCATTTACCCTACTTACTCTATACTTACTCTACTACTTTATTATTAAATCCCGTGTCAAATCCTAAGGGGACTAATAAAAAAGAACGGAGGTAATATTTATCTTTGATTCTATTAAAAACTATAAATTCCTCTTATTATTGGAATCTAGTGAAAAAGTCATCTTTTATAAAGATAACAATGATATCTTATGATGAAATTCCATACATAGGAAGAAGTAGCACAAATTTTCAGACCAATTCACTTCTATTTTGAAAAGTTTTAATCCAATTTATTACGTTTTTTAATAGAACTAAATAAATTGGATTTGAAAATTGAATATTTATGAACTTTGTTTATGTTTTACTCCTATATTGAGTATTTTCACGTTATTTATGTTTTAAACCTCAATTTTCTCTTCATATACTTCGTCTATATGGCCCTATGGGGGCAGCTATCCCACTCAACCCCAACTCAACTCTTACATATATGTAAAATTTTCTAAGAAATTACACAAAATAAGAGTTAAATGTAGGGGGGGAAATCTAAAATTGGATTGAGAGTGTTTTCTTTCATATTAAAAGAATGAAATACTAAAAAAATCACTAAATTTGTTATGTTTAACTTGTATTTGGTTAATTTTGTCAAATTTTATACGCAATTGCATCTTTACACACCCGAAATACATTAATCTTCTTATTATTCATACTTGTACATATATATCTTAAACTAAATTTAATCAAACAATATTAATAATGTGATTTGCTATTTGTGAAGTATCACACTAAATTGTAGTGCAAATTTGCCCCGCTCGCCAAATTTTCTGAATAGGCCATTGACTCTCGTATGGAGTTATATGTTTGAGAACTCATTATAGGTTCGAAATGTTCAAAGTCTACCGATATAGCCACAATTTTCAATTTCATGATGTGTTTTGCTAGAGGTACACAAAATGTGTACAAATGTGTACCATGAGGTTGTCTATGACACACAAAATTTCTGTGAAGGACTGACATGTGTACACATTTTGTGTACATATTTTGTGTACACATTTTGTGTACCTCAAGCATTGTGTAATTCAATTGGAGAATGTCTTGATATATACAAAAATCCTCATAACGGAAAAGCCAAAAAATAGAATAAAATGGAATTACCAGAAATCCCCTGAAGATTGTTTGAACTTTGACAGCAGCCCGCGTCTCCCTCTTCATCCCATTGCCCTTTCCTCCGCCGCCGGTGAGTTCCGCCACCGCTGCAGTAGCCCGCGCGGCAGCCAGCGCAATGGCATGCTTGTTCTGCTTCTCTGAACCGCCCGGAATATAGTAAGATCTCATCAGCCACGGCGAGTCAACCACCACCACCGGAAACTCATTCTCCACCGCAATTGTTGAATCCTCCTCCCTGTTCAGCCGTCGCCGGCCAAAACTCCAGCGTCTCTTCATCTTCATGTCAGCAGAGTATTCATTGTCCTTCTTCATCCCCAACAAGCTTTTCAGCCACCTCTTAGCTTTCTTCATTATTCACACTCCAAATCTCAGAGCTAGCTAGCAGATCACTGGGATTCTGGGAATGAAATACAGAGTTGAATTGAGAAAGTAAGAAGTTGAGAAAGGATGAAAAAGATTAACAAACTTGACAAGATGTGAGTATGCAAATTTTGGATTGGAAGTATATATACAGAGACGTGATGAGAAGAAATATAGGGATGAATTAAATGGTTTAGAAAGAAAAGAAAAATTAAACTGATATATCCCGCCCGACATAGACCTCGTGATCAAGAACTGTATCAGTTAGAAGAAGACAAAACAGAGCGAGCACATATACGAGAATACCATACTTGCAATCTTTTACTTTTTTTTCCTCAAATCTGAAAACTTACTCCCTCCCGTCCCCTTTTAAATGTCCCGGAAGAGGGCAGGGGCGGAGCCAGGGTACTGGGCCGGATTTGGCCGGTACAAAGAATATTTTTAGAAAACATTCTACACGAAATTTTTTACCTTAAAAATTAAGCCATTTTTAAAATTTGGGGTGGGCCATGGCCTAGGTTGACCCACCCCTAGCTCCGCCCATGGAAGAGGACGACACGAGTTTTAAAAAAAGTGGGTTTGTGTGGTTGATATTAATTGATAAAGTAAGAATAAAGTAAGAATGATTTTGAGGCACACAAACTTACCAAATAAGGTACTGGTATGAGACAATTAAATAGGGACATACCAATATGGTAAAATGAGACATTTAAAAGGGGACAAAGAGAGTATATTTTAGTGAAACTTACAAAAAATATTTACTTGTGATAATAGACTAATGGTGTTTATGTGTTTAAGAAATTGTCTTGTATAGGACTAAAACAATAGACAAATTCCAAAATAGGAGTCCTAACTTGCACGCATCTATTCTGCTTGCATACATTCTTTATTCTTTTTTTCGATTTTACACCTACGTCTATTATATTGCTAATATAACTATAATATTTAGTTCAAATAACTTTATTCTTGAATAATAATCATTAAAATATTATTGTTATATTACTATTTTACTCTTAGCTTGTTTGTTAAAATAATATGATTATTATTGTTATTAGTATTATGACTATGAAATAATATTTTATTATAGTAGATGCATATATTACGAGTCATTGACACGATTTTAAAACTGTATTGTCCGAAAATGTAAAAGTCCAATGCTTTTACATGGTATATTCAACAATATTACAAGCGAATATTAACTAATAGCTTCTTTTGCAGTAATTTTTTCACATATGTTAGTACATGTTTTGTTATATTTATTATTTTTTAAGATCAAGTTTTTGTGTGATTGGTAAATTTATACTCCGTATTTGTTAGATATAGGACTCGACAAACCCTTTATGTTCAAAATCGGGAAAATCTGATGTCTTGGAATGACATTGTCTATTTTGTAAATTTAAATATTTAAAAATAGTTTTACGAATATTAAAATAAGGGATAAAAAATCAAAACGCCTTTTCACGCCTAAGCCCCGCCTAAGCCCGCCTAGGCTTCAAAGGCTTAAGGCTTGGCCGTGCCGCCTCGACACGCCTTACGCCTTTTAGAACATTGGTCCTAAGTGATATATTCTCTAAATAGGAGTTAAGTGAGTTGGTGAGCCGTTACTTTTTTTTTCATGCTTACAATTATACTCTTCTTTACATTATCTTGAATAACAACTTTCATCTCTCCACTATCTTATCCTCTCGCCTAACTCTATCCCTGTAGCCTCACGTTCTTCTTTTTATTTCTCCAGCCTTACATTAATATGGATCTCTCTTCTTCATCCATTTCATTTGTTAAATTTTTAATTTTCCAGATTCTCTGACAGACAAGAGCGGCGGCGGAGGGCGGCGGCACGAAGGAGGGCGGCGGAATTCATGGACATAGGTAAGAATCAATTTCTCCCTTCTTCGATCTCCTTCTTCTTTTCTTCTTCTCCTTCTTCTCATTCTCCTTCTTCTGCCATCTCTCTATTTTTAGTTATCCGCCATCTTCTCTATTTTATTTTATTTTATTCCAATAAGTTTTATTTAGTTTTTAAATTGATTAGTTTATTAATGATTAGTTTTATATCCGAAAATTACATAATGCAACCTTCTATGGAGCAACCACTCCAGATATGAGTTTAGATCTCTGATCGGGAAAGAAGAGTAGAACAAATTGCCATGTCTTCTTACTATCTTTATAAAAATACAAAAGATGAACAATATTGCCATGCCAAGGTAAAAAATAATAATGCCATCTCACTATCCTTATAAGCAATGTTTGCCATTTTTATCATTATAAAAATACGAAAGATGAACAATATTGCCATGTCGAGGTAAAAAATTGTCATCTTGCTAATTGTAATGTCATATAAATGATATTAGTTTGAAATCAATGTTCAAATCATTTATAACGTCATATAAATGATATTAATCATAAATAAACTAATGAAGTTCAAAATTAAATAAAAATGATTGGAATCATGAAATAAAATAAAAATTAAATATGAATTACAGCTATGCCCAAAGTTAAAGACGAATTGCACACGTGAAAATAATTTGATAACAATTCACAACATAATCTAATTAAATCACTTGTTCTAATGATTTTTCCAGGAAGCGGCGCCTGAGATGGCGGCAGCGGCAGTGGCGCCGAAGATGGTGGCGGCAGTGGCGTCGGAGATGGTGGCGGCGCTAATGGCATCGGAGATGGTGGTGGTAGTGCTGGAGATTGTGACGGTCTTGTACGAGACATATGTCATGTGTGGTCCTTTGCCTCTGTTATCTAAACTTAAACTTTAATTTGTTATTTTGTTTTCTTTTCATTAAGGGTATTTTGGTCTGTGATTATTTATTTCCGTGTGTCAAACTATAAGTGAGATAGGACTCCTACTTTTGCACTTTAGTCATGTTTAACTCCCACTTACGGAATTATCTCTATGTGTTTTTAAGGAAGGACGTATAATTTTATGAAAATTTACATTATTTACTAGAAAAGACGTTCACTAAAGTATAAATCAAATTTACAAATTTGAATATTGATAAATCTGTAAATAGAAGTCAAATACTCAGAGCCCGTTTGGTAGCACGAAAATCAATCGTTTTGGCTGATTCTGCTGAAATTAATGAAGATCTGGCTGAAGTGGCTGCTGCATTGGCTGATTCTGCTGATTTAAGAAAAAAATTATTTTTAAAATATATTTTATTAATAAAAAAAATTATATGTAAAAATAGCTAAAATGGTCATCTACAGTAACTTCAACCAATACAGCTAGAAAAGTAATTTCAACATTACTTTTTCTGCTTATTACACAATTCAGCGCGCCACACCAAAAATTACGTGTTTGGTGAAAAAGTTGGCTGATAAACCCTGATAAGCCGAAAAACGGTGTTGCCAAACGGTCTCTCAAATGTACTGAAAATGTAAAAATAGGAGTGAATGTCTAAAACTCTCAAACTGAGAGTATTTTTTGAAGCTTGGACAAGAATACCCTAGGGGAGCTGCCACCGCCGGTCAACAGGGCTTCGTCACCATTGAACTACCCCGCCACCAAGAGTCTGACCCGATTATGCAAGGGAACCAAATGAGCAATAGATTGTATTAATTAATTTGATTAGAGTATTAAGTGCAGAAAGTTAATGTTTACTCCTATTTAAAAAACAGATTATGTTTTACTCATATTGAGGAAAATTACTTATTTAAGTACTTATATTTTATTCATTACTTTTCATTATGAATAACTAGGTCTTGGTTTTAAAATAACACAACACTTGTAATATTTATCTTTTCTTTGTTAACATAAAATGATGTCGACTTTATCGGACTAATTCTGGATTCTCAATAATTCACCCTCAATCGTTGAAGAGCCATTAGATTCTCAATGCCCATTTATGCAATAATAATACTGTGCATAAGAAACCTGATTAATTTAACTTGTGAATATAAAAAGAGCTATAATCGTCGGATAAAATGTAATATTTGTGGCGCTTTTGCACCGGACTCGTCAATTTAAATTTTAAACGACTTTTATGCTGATTTTTTTATTCCCTCTGTCCCACTAAGATTGACCCATTTTTCATTTTCGGATCATCTACTAATATTTTCTGATATTAAAATTGATAAAATTTGTGTGACTCTAAATCATTCTTAGTTTATAAATTCAATATCAACTATACAAATTCACTTTTTTCATAATCACATTGGGTATGTTTGGCAAATGGCTTATCAGCCGGCTTTTAGCTTGTTTGACCCATTTCAGTTGTTTGATTGGTCAAAGAAGCTAATAATGATGTTTGGTAAATGGCTTTTAAAATTAGTTTGTTGAGTTTGAAAAGCTGAAAAAATGGATTGTTGAAGAAGCTAAGGGGGGCAGCTTATTCATTCGGCTGGTTCAATTTACACTCTATCAGCCATTTCAAAACAACCAATTTTACCAAACAATTATCTATAATCAGCTAACATAACCAGCCGGTCAAAACAGCTAACACAACCAGCTGTTAGGAAACAGCTGACACAATCAGCTAACAACAACAGCTAACAGCCATTTGCCAAACATACCCATTATCTACTTATGTTCCAATGTTAATAGTACAGTATTATTTAGGAAGCACACCTATCTCTCCCGTGGGCATAAATATTAAGGCGCTTTAAATTTAAGTGTAGCACATCATCCATTTTGAGTGCTCTAAATCACTAAAATAAACATGTGGATCTTCATAACAATCAAATAATGACGAATGATATCACTCTATCATTGTTTTCATCTTAAAATAATATTCATTACTCCTAAATAAAATGAGGAAACTTTATGCTTTTAATAATGCTGCATAACTAATAGTTTGAAAACAAGACACAAATACTCCTATTAAGAACATTTTGTAACTTAATAACTTAATTTGCATTGAGATCACACCCATATATGCCATTCTAAAACATTATTTTTGTTGTTTTTATTAGGGCTGGGACCGGTTCGGTTCTTACTCAAAATGAGTGGAATCGTTATAAAAGTTTTAACTAATGAAATCGGTCTGGTTCCTATATAAAAAATCAAGAATCGTTATGGAACCGAACCGGTAGTAAACGGTTCGGTTCTTCCATTTACCGGTTCCTAGAATAATTTTTTCTCGTCTAAGAATTAACACATAATTTTAAATACGTCGAAAAT